ATAATATAGACGGACCAAACTTTAATAAAACAATATCTGATATAAATTATTAACAAAATTAATTTAAAAAACTTTGAAAAATTAAATTTGAAAAAAAGAGATATAGATAGGCAAAACCTATAGATATATAGCTATATCTGATGTTAATTAACACTTATTTGAAAGTTGTGTTACATATCAAAAAACAAATTAAAAATTAAAAATAAATTTAAAATAATTAACTGAAATTAATAATAATTTTTAATAATTAAATGAAATTACGAAAGCTAATTAAATGTGTTTGTAAATGTCAAAATGGAAATGCTGCGCGTGGAAAATTACAACCAGAACATACATATGAATTTTAGTGTATACATGTATGTATGTATGTATGTAACATGTTAAAATGAAATAAGTAATTATTTCGTAAAATACAGCTAAACTACAAAAAATAAGCAGCAAACTTTCATGTAAAACTATTTTTTGTTGATTTCGCTCAYTTCTTTTACTGCCTCGTTTTATATATATGTACATACATATCTAGTACATATGTGTTAAGCAATTTATGGATCGGACATGCATTTTTTGTATGCCGGCGTTCTYCGCCAGTGGCAYTTGGAGATGATGCCTTCGGGTGTGCGRTAGTGTGAGGGAATGCAGGCGCTATAATCGGTCTCGCATTTKGCGAAGGGCGACCATTTGCACGAGGTGGCCGATTGGTGTTCACTTAAGCARCTTTGGCCGAAACAGGGTTGCACCTGAAAAAAGAAGAAAATTGTAATTACTATATTTTTCCGCTTGAGGSATGAACGATRGATTTTTAAGAAAATAGTATCAMTTAAAAATTGCTAAAACTAAACTGCCAATATTCCTTTGGGTCCAAACACTTTGTCGATACTTCAGTGCTTTATCGTTTCTTCACGATCAGCATCTCAACTAAMMTATTTTTTCTTTCGTACATTTCCTTCCATGCAARTTTTTTTGAAGCAAACTGTAGACCTATGCATATATTTTYCAATACTCACCGAGCATTTACAACCCTTGCGATATGCGCCGGCAAATCCACGCCTCTCAACCACCGACATTTTCAGATACTCCTTGACATAGCTGCAACTGTTCAAATACGGACCCCGGCCGGCAATCACATAGAGCTTGCCTATGTCCAGGTTTATGCCACACATGGCATCCGAGTTTGGTGTTACTATTCGACCGTGCTTGAGCAGCTTGTGACCGGCTTCGTTCATCTGCGTACACAATTTACAATTTATTCCTTGSTAATTGCGGTCTACTCAATTTCTAAGTGCTCACTCACCTTATATGACTTCTTRACTTCCACTTTGTATGCGACGTTGTCTTGCACTAAACGGAGGGACTTGCGCATTACGCGTATTATGACAACTGAAAAATTAAATAATCAAAATTGGAATTAAAAATAATTTGTAAAAGAAGGTTTGTAAGTTATGATAATRACATGGATATATTTAAAAATCTCTCTCATTACAAGTTAGCCCCCTAGCTCACAATATCACATCGTTTAATTCCCCTAAAGCAATGCATTTCATACAAAACTAGTTTTGAATCATTCTCATTTAAATCAAGAAAACATTTCTAACTGCTAAAAAAATACAAAAATATAATCGATTACCCTTTCGAATTTTTGTCGATTTTACTGATTACTTATCCTTTTAAATTAGCGATTGTAAGTACTCTTTTCTTCGAATATAAAAGAATAAGACAAATATTTCTTTATTTTTATCGATTACTATWTAAATTGATTTATCGAACTATTTATTTTTTTTAAATTTGCGAATCAAAACCTTTTTTACTTCGAATATTAAAGTTCTAGACATATATTGAATTATTCTTTTTTTCGGTATTTAACGATTAATATTTCAATTGATTTATGAATTGATAAGATTTTATTGATAGAAAATTATAAAAAGTAAAATTTCCGATTTTTCGCCTACACTTGTCGATTATTCTATTAATATAGCAGCTGTAAAGATTCTTTAGTTCGAATGATGAGAAAGATAAAAAATATTCCGCTTACTTTTATCGATATTAATCGATTATTGTTTAAATTGATTTCTGAATTGATAACATTTTATTCATAGAAAATTAAATAAATTAAACTTTTCCATTTTCCGACATTTATCGATTATTCGATTAAAATAGCAAATGTAAATATTCCTTAGTTCGAATCATTAGAAAAAGATATATAATATTCAATTACTTTTATTGACTATGAATATCCTCTGGAACGACAATTAAAAATTCAGTTTTTACGATTTGTTTTAGTTTAGTTATTTGACTCAATCTTGTTTACTTTTAGATAAAATAACGCTTACATTATCCATTTTTAGTCATGAACTTGTTTCTTGTACCTAATTGCATTCGATTTAAGCCTTTATTATTCAAGTCATTTGTAACTAGTTTCAAATGAGTTCTAACGAAGGCAATTTGATTCAAATATAGTATGTATTATTTATCAACTAGTTGGAGCTTTCATGTCAATTGTAACTAGTTTCAAATCAGTTCTAACGAATTTGGTTCCAATAAAGTTTCTATTATTTGTCAACTAGTTCGAACTTTCATGATGTTTGTAGAACTTATATCTAGTTTCGACCAAATTAAAAATGTAACTAGTTTGCAACCAGTTTTACGAATTGAATTAAAAGCTCATACTTTTCAATGCACATTTTGTAGTATGCTTTCACCGGACTTAACGTATTAATTTCCAATTTTCATAGCAGATCAAGTATACGCCATGTACACTTCCATKGCTTTTCCGTTTAAAATGAGAAATAAAATACACAAGACGCACAAAGCTAAGCTACAAATTTCCCCAGCGTAATTGAGAAAGCATAGAGAAATATTAATGTCTATTTAGTTGCATGKTCTCATTAAAATAAAATACTAAGAACTACACCGATAAAGATTAACTAGTCTCAGGAGTTTCGAAGAGCTCGGAAGTAACTGCAAGTACAAGAGAAACCAATAACTGTACAACAAACAGTGTCTATAGTAACGCAATTATCTTCAATACATATCTACGATACGCAGTGAKGTTTGTTGATTCCTTGTAAAAGCCGCCAACATAGACAGCGCTTCGAAGCTTCAACTTTTCTTGCGCATCCAAGTGCAGCTCATATAATTTTTCTTCAGAATCCTTTGCAAATGGTTATAAATGCTTAAGGAAATAGGGAAAATTATTTYCTGAAACGAATCTGCAGGCAAAATGTCTTAATGCTGCTAAGCATTTGCTCCTACCAGTATTTTTAATATACGAGGACTGCACGAGGAGTCGATGACTGTCTGAGTAAAATATATTTTAAGGTGTTTACAAATACACGACATGCCTAGAGTTTTCTTGTAAAGTTTTTGAAAACTASACAGTTCGGAAATTTTTTTCCAAGKTYTAGCAGTTASTTCATGTAGATCCTCTTTTCAAATTTTCTTAGGGTTCCTCAAAAAAACTTTGCGAAATCATTTCATACAATTTGGGGTTGATACGGATCTCCATTGAAGTGTGCTCTACTAATGAGTAACTCACTAGTAATTAATTCTAAAATTATTCAACTGAATATTCTAAAATTCACATGAACCCAATAAAGTTCGTTTTTATATCCTAGATACTCGTTTCTAGTTATTGTTAAAAAGCAMAAATATCGATTACTTTTATAGAGTTTATGCGATTACAATTTCATTTTCTTCTATATTTATCGATTAATTTACTAATTCCATTAAAGTATCGATTTTAAGTATTACTTCTTTCAAACATTAAAGAAGAAGGCAAATATCGCTTGATTTTTMTTGATACTTATCGATTACCATTTTTGATTTTTGGATTGTAAGCATTTTATTGGTAGAGAGATTAKCRAAAGCAAATAYATCGAYTTTTTATTGACATTTATCGATAATATTCGACAATTATCGATTATTATMTTAAGTTTCCAAAAAATATTCTTTGGATTAAGTATTAAGAAAAMGATAAATAAATATTTCAATTACTTTTATTAATGTTTATCGATTATATTTGTCATTTATCGATTATTCGATTAAATTTTTTAAAAAATATTCTTTGAATTGTAAGTCGAAGTCATACAAATATTTCGCTTACTTTTATCGATATTTTTCGATTACTACTTCAATTGATTTCTCGATTGTGAATTTTCTTGGATGTAAAATTAATAAAACAAAATTTTAATTAAGCTTTAGTGAGACTCTATTTAATTTTAATTCCAACATATCAAAAACCCTAGACATATCCAGTTGCGCTCGTACAAACAAAATATTCAGCTAGCTTGACACCTCTTCGCACTTAGAGCTCTATGCTTCCACAGCGACTATGATAAGATAATATAATTTGTTCGGGCACACTTTAATGTATTATTTCTGCGCAACGCAGCCAGAAGGAGCTTCCTTCCTATATTTACTAGACTCTACATTTTGCTACAGTAATATTTACACAGTGGCTTCCTGCCTAAAGGGGGTTACGTGTCATGTATCCTTCCGTGCTGTCCGTCACTCACAGTGGCTGAGTGTACACGCATACCAAGCCGATTCTCCTCTTCACTTACCATAATCAGCATTGCAGAAGTGTGTCTGCGGATGGCTGGGCATGCAACTGCACGCCTCCACCGGACTRCTGTARAGCGCCAACAGCGAGAGCAGCATCAGCGCCAATAATCCCAAATATTTTCCAACATCCATAGYTGASAGCTATTGATTTTGCGCTTGATTTGTATTTGCTTTATGTGCTTTGCCTTTTCTGGTGTCGCTATGCCTGCGAGCGGTGGACGGGTGGGCTACTTGATTGCCTTGAGTCGAGTGTGTAACTGTCACCGTGTAGTTTTGAAGCTTTCYCTGAAACGAAATAATAAACGAACAAATATAGTACGGCATTCTGTTGAGTGTGTTGTTGTAAAATATTTGCTAAGCTCTTTTAATTTACTTAATTCAAATTGCAATAAAAAGTTTGTGTGATTTGTAGTCCCATGTCAGCTGTCAGAAACATTTATTCTGGCAAAAAAAAATGTTTTTATAACTTAATAATCCGCTAAAACTTTTTTATTTCGAATTTCTTTGTTTATATTCCAACACTTATGTAACACTCTCAATCAGCTTGAGCATGTCAAATCAATTGTTTCATTTACATTTGCCAAGTTTGTCCTTATCACTTATGTAAATGTTTGCCACCTCCGCACAAAATTTCGAGTCAGTAGTCATTTATATATATAAATACATACATATTTATTTACTTATATATTTACTTATTGCTTTTAATGTCATCATGTCAAGCACAAACCGCAAAATATTACGGAACAACAACAAGTGATTTCTACAGTGCTTCGGGTGACACCTTCGCACAGAGCGAAATATTTGTGTTTCCRAAATTAGTTTATTTAGTCTTGAGCAAATACGTTTGAGCTTAACTAAATAAATATTAATAATATCTGTTRAAGCTAGTTTGTTCATGTAAAATTGATTACCAAGCTGATAAATTTTCCCAGAAATCGGCATATGTTTGAAAAGCARTAATATTAAGAAGCTATGCACAAGAAAAAGTGCAGTCAATATCTAAAAAATTCTAAATTTCAAAATGAAATTCAAAAGTAATTAATAAATTCAATCTAAATGATACTTAAAGGAAAAATTACTAAGACTTACTGAAAGAATTTAATCTAGAATCAAAAAGCTGTCGGATCTATAAGTCTTCCTGCAAATGGTGGCTCATATAACTAAAACAAGTCATATAACTAAATAGCTACTTTTGTGGAAAATATTGCAAATTTCAATGAGACTAGTTCGTAGTAGACCAAGCGATCGGTTACTTCCAAAGCAAATTTCTTTAAGTATAACATTCCTCAAAAAGTTCGATATTGTAGGAGGAGTTGTAATCTTTTGAAGCCGAAAGCTGAAACTRAATTCCTTCACGTTGAACATTTAATACTATAAAGCCAACCGATGTTGATCGAACCGACACCGAAATTATTTTCTAATATACTGAACTGGAGAACACCAAAAAATCACACGTAGCCAAATCTGGTGAATACGGTGGTTGCTCGATGGTATTCATTGCGTTTATGGTTTTCAATTCAGTCACAATCATSGCTYGATGCGATGTTACATAATCATTTTGTAAAATCCATTAATTGTTCTCACGCAAACGCCTCAAARCGAYGAAATAGAACTACTTTTTGACCGTCTGTCCTTTCGGAACAAATTCATGATGCACCAAACCACGAATGCCGAAAAACACAAAGAGCACATCCTTGACTTTTTTAATTTTCATCAGTTGAAGAAGTCGAAGGTCGCCCAGTACGAGGCATGGCTTCAACGATGTCTCTATTGTCTTTGAAACCTTTGTACCACTCCTGTTTTTGTGTTTTTGATAAATGTGAATCTCCGTAAGATTTTTCCAACATTTACAATCATTCCGCATACGAAATTTTGTAAAAAATGCAAATGTAATAAATATGAGCTCGATTCTTTTATCCATTGTAAAAATCGTAATGCCCAATTGAAGGGTACCGACTAAAGTAGCTGCTATGAACAAATTTGTTGACAGATCGCACTTGTATATATACTTTCTTGTCATTATGTATTCAAATATCTCCCAAAAGCGAGATTAGTGTCAAAAATTACAAGATCGGTGCTGTGCCTCCCTCACAGAAAAAAGTTTCCCATACAAAAACTTGACTTTGAGAAATCAGTTTGTAAGTCAGCTTTATGCAATATTTGTCCGAGTTAAATAATTTATATAGAGATTATTGCTCTATTGTGCAAAGTAAAATGTGAAAAATTACGTCAAAATATCATGTTAAATAAAAACGGTTTTCTATTCATAGACTCTAGTTTGTTTTATCAGTTTTTATAGTAGCTTTATGCTACAGTGGCCCGAAATCGCGAACTCCAACAAACAAACAAAAAAAAAAAAAATGTTTTGTAGAGAAAGGATGTGAGCAAAATTTCAGATCAACATATGAAAGTAAAAAATTTTAGCAATAAATCTTCAGCTATAAATACCTAGTTTATTTTCCTTTATACTAGAACTTCCTAGCTGTAAATGTTATTAAAATTGAGATAAAGCTTTTACATCTCTTAAAACTAATAGCAGCTTTCTTTAGACATGACTTAAGCCATCAATAATAGTGTTTTGATCGTTTTTCATTAAGAAATCCTTGAACTACTATATATACATATATCCTSAAATAAATCTGCACTTCTAAGCTGGTAATCAGCTCTTACTAAATTTAATCACATAAATTTAGTGTCGTTACAAATTACTACAATATTTTGAGCAATATGAAGTACAAATATAAATATGTATCCAAATAAGTTGTTGTCCTTGAGATGTTGGCTCTCCTGCTGTAAACACAATTTCTCATCAATCACTTGCCTTTATGTACTGTAAGTTGTGCGTAAGTCGAAATGAGTTTAAGCTCAGTTAGACTGTTCTGCTCGGGGACTATATAAAGTACTTAGGCACACATACATATACATAATTGCAATATGTACAAGTTTGTGAATTTAATATCTTTAATAATAACACAATAACAATACTGTGTTGATGTGGTGCGTTATATTGTATTTGCCAAGAGCTAAACGCTTTCAACTTTTGTTAACGGTAATAACAATTTAGCCATCACAAAATCTAGTTAATATGGTATTTCAGCAAACTTTTRGTATTAGTAAAAGAACTTTGCAAATTCTTATTAGTTTTCTTTTTGTTGTCTACAGATATTTGGTATGAGTCATGCACAGAGTTGTTTAAAATTGCCAGAAGGACCAGATCATCAACACGATGACAAGAATTTTCACGTGTTATTGCGAATATCATGCATAAACTTATTATCACTCAGTGAAAATAGAGCAACTCGTAAAATTCTTAAGTAATGCGTTCGATTCCGGTGCAATTTCGAATATCAGGATACTATGTGGATAGGACACTTATAGTTTTGGGAGCCGATCACACTAAGTTAAAGAATTATTTCAGATACGCTCCTATCCCCGAAACTATTTGTCAGATCATCATCTATTTTTCGGAAAATATTTCCAAATACAAGTAATACAAGTAAATTCAATATATGTACATACATATATCAGATTTAAAATTTTTSAAATTCATTAGTGGATATAATCCCAAATATGCAAGTATCACATTATCATCGAATGTATCTCACTSCTTCTCAATTCGTGTAATCATACTTAATAACCGCTCTGAGGAACATTCTAATCAAATTGGGCAATGAAAAGGAGGATAGTTGGGATTGTGATTGATTATTTTGGCGAATATGAGGGTGCAATTTAATATCTGTAGGCTCCGAATCAAATTTGATTTGACGGTATATTTTCAAATATTCAGACAAAAAAATTTTGCCAAAAACACTCATCATGTATGTATGTACAGGGTGGCRCAAAAGTCAGAAGATGATCAGAAGATGCTATAAATTTTGCAATTGACCTCTAATGTCMATTCTGTTTTGACATTTGGGTAGTAAACATATGCGAAATACGCGTAAATAAACAATGGTATGCTACACTGCGTGCCACAACCGATATGCTGAAGGATGCATTTCCCGTGCATCTAATCTCCCGTTTTGGCGATTTGCACTGGCCGGCAAGATCGGCAGATTTGACTGCTCCAGACGTCGTTTTGTGGGGCTTTTGGAAGTCGCGGGTTTATGTCAACAAGTCTCAGACTCTTGCAGCTCTTAAAGACAATATCCCTCAAGAATGTGAAGACCTATCGCCGGAAGTTCTGGCCAAAGTTATGGAAAATGCGATAAAAAGGGCTCAAATGACAATKAACTGTGGCGGCGGCCATTTACATGATATCATATTCTTGACTTGTTGTAAAAAAATGTAAAAGAGCAAACAAAAATCATCCACAAGCAKAATCAAAGTTTTTCCTTTTTTTAAAAAAAGTTTTTCATTTTCCAATAAACATCGGAAGGTAATTTTTGCGCCACCTGTTATATACTATAAGCAAAGCAAATGGGTCTGGCAGTGAACGAGGGCAAGACGAAATATCTCTTGTCATCAAAGAAACAGTCGTCGCACGCACTACTTGGCTCTCACGTCACTGTTGATAGTCGTAACTTTGAAGTCGTAGATAATTTCGTTTATCTTGGAACCAGCTTAAACGCCACCAACAATGTCAGACTGGAAATCCAACGCAGGATAACTCTTGTCAACAGGTGCTACTTCGGACTGAGTAGGCAATTGAGAAGCAAAGTCCTCTCTCGACAAACAAAAACCAAACTCTATAAGTCACTCATCATCCACGTCCTGCTATATGGTGCTGAGGCATGGTCTTTGACAACATATGATGAGTCGACGTCACGAGTTTCCGAGAAAAAGGTTCCGCGGAAGATTTATGGTCCTTTGCGCGTTGGCCACGGCGAATATCGCATYCGATGGAACGATGAGCTGTATGATATATATGACGACATTGACATAGTTCAGCGAATTAAAAGATAAGTAAAGAAGAAAAAGAAGTTATATACTATATATTATACTCTCTTTTTTTCTACAAAATTAAATTCATATCTTGCCACATGAAAAGTGCATTTCGGAAATATTTTAACAGTTAAACCTGGAATGTTATACTCGTAATCAAAATCTGGTTATAACCGCAAATKTAATTTAAATTTAATTATAGTGCATTTAGCTTCATACTATCGCAATTATCATAGTCGGTATTAACCATAAATGCCGTTATGTGGCCATAAAAAGTTATGCACTAACTGCTGTAAACATCTCTGCAGTTAAATAATAACCGTGTGGCAAATAAACGAGCATATAAATTGATATGCAGACACCCACACACAAGCAAATATATTATATATTTATTTTAACGG